ATTTTCATAGAACAAGGTAAAACTATAAGACTTCAAGAAATATGTAAATATTGTCATTTTTACAGTTTTACTAATCGTTAAGTTATTTATATTGAAAACTGGTTTTTTTTTTAGTTTGGTGTTATTATTCCACCATGAGTTTGGGTAAAATTTCTATCAATTGGTAAGAACTCCGAGAGACGTAAAAGTTGTGCCTCAACACTTAAAAATGTATTTGAAAAATACCTTCGAGCTTACCAACGCACGCGTTCCTTAATTTTGTCAAAGGACGTTTTATCATATTTGCTGTCCTATTAAATAAATTAGTACGGCCTTACCTTATTCACCTCAGTTCAGCAAATCATCGTTCAAAAATAATGTTTTCTTTATAAAAGGCATCCAATTGCATGTTTTAAATATATTTATTGCATTTGAAGAATTAAATTCAATACACATTCTATTTTTTTTATTTGTTCAAAGTATATATAAATAATTTTTTAAAACGCTGCTTTTATAATGAGGTTTACAGAAGTGTTAAGTATAATTAAAAGCTTCTTAACTTCATATGTAAGTGTAAAATATAAAAAATAAATCAAAAAGTTAAAAAGCAAGCAGCAAAATAAACCGTTGAAAAATTTTTAAATGAATATCTTTGACTAAGAATTTCTAACATACATATTCATATTAAGCAATTAAAATTTCTTAAATAAATTCGCTATTCATTAGCAATACATTAATATCTTTTGTGACGCTACAAATATAAAAAACATTAAAGTGCATTTTTAAATGGAATTTTGTTGCTGTAGTCGCGCAGATTTCATCGAATTGCTTTTTTTAATGCGCTATTATTTCTGTCTGACCTCAAACATGTGCGTTTAACTTTTTAAAATATTTTTACGAAATGTTTTAATGCGACTACGTTTTTTACATTCAATAGAGATACAAATTATGGATATACCTTGCAACGTTGACTGTTGCTAATACATTTGCACGTTTTACATTAAAAAAAGATTAACATTTAGTGTGTGGATAATATAAATAAAATTAGTGGGAAAATACCTTTCTACTAAGATCCCATAAGACTAAATCAGAATAGTTTTGGCCCAGTTATTTAAGTTTTTTCGTAAATCAATCTTTGAAAAAAAAGTAAAAAACCGCATCAAGCATCTCATTATTACGATTCCGTTGAATAGATTTTTAAATATTTTTATGCAGATGTTTTAAGCCTAATCGGTTTTGTCATCTGAGGGGACTTTTTCAAAAACTTCTTTAAGAAACAATTTTTATTCATAAAAAACTTAATTTTTGGAGGAACATATTTTCAAATTGGTCCAGCTCCGAAATATTTTGGTGGACGCCTTAAAATATAATAAATCTTGTAATCCCAGCGGAAAACCCGCAACTTTGTTTGGTGATGCGGTCTAATATACATATATTTTCATATATAAATGTGTGAGGAGGTTAGTGGCTCGCAGAAACTCTATATCATTGTTGCGTTTCGTTTTCAATGAAAATCAATGCTTATGTTGCCGTACTTGGATTGCGAACATAAAAAGACACCACTGGTTAAACCGCTGGTTATTGAAAAAGTGAGCGAAGCTTGAAGCGTTCGCGTTTCATAATTAGGAGCGATATGTGGAATATAACGGCAGAAACGAATGTTCTTTTTTAATTAACTCAGGGACCGTAGCGGTTACAATAAAATTCATAATTTAATCGTTAGAAGAGGGTTTTTATATTTCGAACTAATATTTTTTCGTAAATTTTTTATCGTATGCTTTATAACGGCTAAAAATGCTCAAAAATATCCAAAATAAAATTATTCATATGTATATTTTTTACCGAAAAAAAAATAACAAAATAACGATTAAATTTGACCAAAAAACAAAAATCCAAATTTAAAAACTATCTATTCTTGGTTGAAAATAAAAATGACGGTTTTGAAATGAGCTAAAAATTTACACAGACGAAAGCTTTTCAATCCATTTTATTTCAACTTAATTGATCTCATTTCTTATCATTTGATTTCTTTACATTTCATTTGAGGTCGTTTAACTTGATTTTATTTTATTTTGTCGTATTTAATTTAATTTATTTATATCTTATTGTAATGATTTGATTTTTTTTCATTTTGGTTTATTTTATTTTATATGATTTTATTTAACTTTATTTCATGTCATTTTATTCCATCCCTTTTTGTTTCATTTAATTTCACTTCACTTCATCTTATTTAATTTCGTTTACATTTCATTTTATTTCATTTCCTTTTATTTAATTTAATTTTATTTCGTTTCACTTCATTTAATTCCACTTCATTACATTTCCCTTCAGTTCATTTCATTTCATTATTTTTTTTTATTAAATTAAATTTATTTTTATTTTATTTTATTTTACTTAATATCATTCCATTACACGAGCTGAAAAATTTCGCAGGGAAGAATCCACCTATATAATTTAAACAAATACAGCATAAAGAGTTTATATTTTTTGCTACTTAATTATTTAGTCAATTTATTATTTATAAATTCACTTACCCCTTTAGGTGATGATACTTTCCCCACATTTATCGGTTTGGAATCTTTTAAGAAATATTTACAGCATAGATACTCTTGTAATATTTATCCATACTTCCGGCGTAAAAATTTCCTAAAGAAAATATTTTTATTACACCCTCAACTTTATCACGAACTTCACGACCAAAACTTTTAACCAGTTGTATATGCATATACGAATTCTTTGAAGATTTCTAATTTAAAAAATTCTTTTATTTGGTTGTATAACCATGGTTGTTTTAATACGGACGAACGCTTACGAGATTTTGCAAAGCAACACGAACTTTCTTATTGCAGCATTTTTTTTAATTTCAAGCACCTTGTATTACTGTAAAAAAGCGAAATTTGATAAACCAATTTCAGCATTATTCTTTTAAAGGCAATAACACAAATTTCACATTCTGCACGGCAAGCAGACTGGCGCCTGTATATTCACACATTTCTGCGACTCCCCACCACATTACATTTCTCACCATTTTCATTGCTTTGCTACATTTTGTTAACGGACCTGCGTGCACGAATGCAATCGGCTACGCACTTTATTTTATTTGTATTTTAAATAGCTGAAAAACATTGCCCGCGCTATGTAATTCACTTTACTCTGAAGAAAATAACTGATTGCGTCGTTTCAAAAGCAAAATATTCTATTTATTGCAAAAAATCTACACGAATTCACTATTTTCACTAGCAGCTGCCTAACGGCGGACTTTTTCGTTGAAACTGACAGCAGCGGAAACTGGCGAGTGTAGCAACAGGGATACGGAAGGAACAGGGTTGCATGCATGTTGGGAATTTATGAGGGAAAATAAAATAAATTAAAATACTTAGCAAGATTTTTAAATCATAAGTCATAAATATGTGTGTAAATATAACGCGCGTAAAAAGAAAATCCCTTAAGCTACCTTTGCATAGGTACATCTGCTTCTTTTCTACCTGGAACTTGTTACTTCATAGGCCTTAGGTAAAACCAAATTATCTATTTTTAATAACAGTGTTTTACAGCTTATCCTAACAAAATAAAATAAAATAATTGAACAAAACAAAATTATTAGCAGATTAAATTACACAAAATTTTCTTAAAAACCTGCTGTTGGCCAGATTGGGCAACACTACTACCAACAAGCTTCCGCCTATTCGCCAGTTTCCTTTTCGCGAGTTAGCAAACGGAGGCTGCTAAGCGGTGTTAGGTGAAGAAAATCCGGAAAATTCGAAAAAATATTGCGTAAATGTCGGTTTTTGGTAAAAATTCAGTAGATCTGATATTTCTCTCTCGATTGTGTGCAAAAAATTAGTGCGGGCGTTGATGCTTAAATGAAAATAACGTAAGTGAAATCTAGGACGAAGTAATGGTGATCGTTGCTTGCCAATGGTGGCGGCAACAAAGACGTATCTACATACATATGAATGTAATGAAATAATAAAAAATGTAGCATCCATATCTATGGTACTGGTATGTTAATGTTAAATTTTCAATTAACTGAATGATAATTCTAAAAGCAATGGGCCATATGAATAAAAACCAATAGCAATTGTTTTTTCTTAAAAAATCAGACTTTTTACTTAAATTTATTTGAATGAATCGAGCAAAATATAGAGTCCGACCGATGCCGGGGCTAGTATTGGCCAAAAGAGTCTGTATCGGCCGTTTTTGTATATGTAATATTAATATTTTATTAAAATGAATATAAAATATTATTGTGGAACGATTTTCCGTCTTCCCTTGTCAAATCAAAAATTGTTCCACAATACATCATAGTCTTGCCCTGTCGGAAACACCAACAACAAAAATGAGAATATATTTTGGTTTTAAATTTAAAGCAATCAGGCAGTACAAACAAAAATGGGTCGATCAGAAATTTGTGCAGTTACTTTGCTACTGCTATTCAATTGTCCCGGAACTGGAAAATACATTCATGATTGAAGTCGGAAATTGCCAACTTAACCAAATCGCTCGGGATGCATAGGTACGAAGATAAATTTACATATATATCTAAACAGCTAGGATTATGTGAACTCTATCCATAGAGGCTATAGTTAATTTTGTAGATAACTCTAAGATTGGCACAGTGAACTCTTGTTTGCTGAATCCCTTAGCCTAATGCATTTACAGCGTATTTGCAGCAACCTCTGACATTTATTGTCCGATTCCTGGTGTACTTAGTATGCTAATTAATGCATTTCATGATCCTTATGATAATTCTACCTAATTTCTATTTATAACTGAACTCATACCAAGTTTTTCAGCAGTTCAGCGTTTTTAATTCTGGATTTCTCTTAGTCATAGAACAATTTATATATCGTAATGACCTACAAAATAGTAGTTTAGCCTATTTAATAGGCCTCATAAATAAAAAGTAGGCTTAAGCTCAGTCAATTTTTTCACTGATGAAGTAAGCTCATTCTTAAGAATTTGTACTGAAAATCGAGTCGGGAGTTCAAACTCACTTCTTATGCATAAGGCCCAATATATTATGTATATTTTGGAAAACATTTATTTACTACAGTTTACAAATATAGTTAAACTTATCAGACTACTCATAAAACATTCTGCAGATACTCATTATCTTCCTTTACAAATTTATGTGCAACATCTTCAGGTACATCTACTTCTTTATAGTTGTCCAAGCCAATTTCCTCTTCTTTCCTGCAATAAACCAAATATGAAAAATATATAAATTAAAATTAATCCAACATCAACCCAGCTACTCGCACTCACTTTATCAAAATATCCACTACATTCTCGCACGCCAACAGACATTCTTTATCTTTGCCAAATTTTGATTCCCATTTGTGATATTCACGCAATATTTCATAAACACCTTTCGACCGCAAAAT